CTTCATAATATCGTAATGCTACACGAAATGTATGTATTTGCTTTCTTGTTGCCAAGGGTCGAGTTTTTCTCAACTTAGTTGCAATTTTATCTTCAACCAGTCCTCAGTGAATATTGTGTTGTATAGAAAAGTCCCACTATATAAAATTATATAAATTAAGTAACAACTGTTTGCTGGATATGACAAAAGTGCATTAACATTTAATGTCTCGAAAGTAGATCTTAATGTCAATTAAATTGGGTCAAGTTATAATGGTGGTGATGTAGGATAGTCTCTTGAATGAAATATTTAGATAAAATGAATGTTTTTTTTACTTATAAATAAGGCTGTTATAATTTTTGGTAGACCTGAGAAAGTTAGTAAGTTCAAAAGGGGAGGATCTTGCTTTTTAAGACGTTTTTCGTGAAATTGTAGTATAAAATAGCATAGGTGAGTCCCTTAAGTGGAATAAAAGCGTTTTCTTACTATTGATATTGAATCCTTTGCGATAAACAACAATGCCTGTCTCAACTAAACTAATTATCAGTATATTCATTGTGATGAGTACATACGTCCGTGTTTCAGACTCCTAATATTGCTTGCTCGTCCAACTTCAATAACGCTTAAAATGTACACATAGCGTTTCATACAAACCGTACATACGGGACCGCGAAATAAACAATTAATAGCCGAACTCCACACGGCAACTTATCTCGCCCTTATCGCCCGATATTACAAGGAAATCGTACGAAATGGACGCAATTTGCGATAAATATGTGATTTCTTTTTTGTTTTATCGGCAAATCCCTTTTTCAGTCGATCGCCAGATAGCGTTGTCACCGGTTGTGATAGATCTTTATGGGCGCTATACAGCGAATTGTTTGCGAATTATCTCCATCGTCGCAGATCATCTTATCAGCGCTAGTACCGGTGAGATTTAATTTCAAGTGTTTCGTTTTTATATCTCGTTCGGATTAAGCACCCGTTTGCTGCTTAACACTTGTATTCAAGCACTTTTCAAGAACGCCTATTTCAAATTTACATGCGTCATCTTTTTTGCTGTTTATAATTCATAATCTCTAAATAATTGTTTAAATGTAAAACAATCTTTTTCTCAATTTCTAAATAATTCTCTATCGATTTTCTGTGAAAAAGGACTTGTCTTAATTGTTCATTGCGTAACACGTCTTTGTGTTTTCAATGTTAACTCTTGACAATTTATTAAATGACATAAATACAAATTATTCGTGACACAATTTTCGGTGTTTTCTTTCGCCTATGATACAGATAGTACGCGGGTATCTGGCACATGATCTTGACGACTGTCATACATAATATTTGCGAACGAACGCGGTTGTTATCGTGTTTTATCTACAAGATGTCGATATTTTAAATGGCCGTGAGAGGAATTATAATAAATGGTGCATGATCTGGCAATTCAAAATGCTCTTGTGGTGTTGTATAATAAGCGAATTTAGAGTATTGTTCAGCAGGTCCATCCCCGCATTGCCGAAAGTTTTTATTCTTCTATTTACAAAATTCACATTTTAAGTTTTACCTTGAGTGCAGAGACGCTAGATCTAAAAATAAATATTAATCCTTAAAAAGAACACAATGTTTGAGAAATTAATATATAATATAGTAATGTAACTAATTACATATACAGTATTTCTATACTTAATATGGATTGATGGTATAATAAATTAGTTAATTCTGGCAAAGTATTTGACAAAGAGAAATTTTAAGACAGTTTTATTGGCAAGTGGCATTCGTTTTGTGACATAACCAATAATAATTTCAGACAGTGGACGCGATAAGTTCGTAGATAATATCGCCACGTACTCGCGCTATATCTTATCTCACACGAATTAATAGCCGCGTATGTAGTTGCGAGGCTATTCTTAAACGTTGCGAATTCATTTCTTTTCGCTATAGCCGGATAGATTGACACGGCAGTGATTTTAATGGGAGTGTTAGCGGATATGAGATAAATATGTTTGTGTCATTTCCCACTATATCAGTTACTAACATCCATATTGTATTTGGCGACCACCTACACTTTAGTTTTGATCCGATATTTGGTTTGATTACCAGTTGTACCGATTTTGGGGATTTTAAAACTCTACGTACGAATACAGTACAGTAAATGCTCAGCCAATGAGTACGCTAAAGGCATGAAAGATGAAGAAAAAGTTTTACTCTTCTATAGTGGTGGATAATAGGAACGGAACGTTGATGTTTCACAATATTACAATATTTATGTAATGCTCACGAGTGTAAATTTTTGTAAAGCCACCCATTATAATTTTCATGTGAATTCAATGGACATAATGGAGTGTGCATTTATAAATAGCTAGACGACGGTAAAAAACTCTGTATTCAATTTGACTCATGCAAAATTAATACCGTCTAAATTTAATAAAGATGTGTTTTATCGAGAGAAACTGACTTGACAGGTCCATAAAGATACAACTTCCATAATAAATTAATAATATCATCGCTAATTAAACAGTATTTAGCGCGGCCTTGGACGAAGATAGTCATAGACGCAAACGGTTAGGTCCTTGCGATTTGAAGAATGTCGACATGGTGGACGCGTCGATTCGGTCCGCGCGGGGAAAAAAACAGATAACGCCAACTGACACCATTCATGTCACACATAAATGTGACGATCAATAAAAGACGTGTTCCCGCACAGCGATTCCCTTTAAAAAGGTATTACGCATTAATATATGCCGCTACAATGACAGCTACTGCCTCCCAACCGCCGTGGAATTATCTTAATTTCATAGTTTTTACATTTCTATCCGACGGCGCGCGCTTAACGCCGTTAAGTATGTCTCGAAATGGACGTGCCGATGCGTTCCTGCACGGAACATCACCTGTTTCGCCAATAACTGCGCGAAAAAAGTAAAGTGCAGCGTTATCGCCGATAAATGTATTTATGCAACACGCTGTTGTTATTTCAAAAGTATTTGATAATAGACCAGGACCCTTAACAAGACGTCAGAGAAGACAGTTCGTAGATTTTTCGGATGTTTGCACGATGTCATTTCTCGGAGAACTGATGTTGTCTTGTAGAACTGTACATGAATAATATTAGTAATTGTCTAAGTGTGATATTTACCCAACATTATTAAGAGATACATACATGCTTTATGCATTTAGTAGGTTTTGCAATAATTGTGTAAAAGTTAATTTTTAATGCTGTTAACATGGATAGAAATTGGTAAATAAAATTAGGCAAAGATATATATGATATATTGTAAGTTCACTTAATTTTACTACCGAATTTGATAAACGGGCAATTCGATGACTCCGTGGCGCTGTCACCAAGGTATTGGCTTCGGTGCCGGAGGTCATGGGTTCGATTCCCACACAGGACAACTATTTTTGCGACCCACAGATAGCATCTGGGTGTTTGTCCACGTGAAATTTATGTATGTAAAACGTCCTTACAACACAGAATAATGTTAACCTAAAGAAAGGTCAATGTTTTTAAAAAAAAAAAATTAATCGATCGTAGTCACTATATGGGGACAGGCAATTGTTTTAATGCGAATAAACAGAGAATTAGTTTAAGAAGGTAAAGAAGATAATGGAAACATATGCGATCTTGTTTTCACAAATCTTCGTGAAAGGAGCTTTCTGTATGACGATACAAGCGTTATTATATTACTTTATACTAGTGTGGGCGGCCTATGTTCAGCAGTGGATTCAAACAGGATGAAATAATGATGATGATAAAAAAACATAGATTTGACTAGAAGACCTTTTTCATTTATTTTTTATTATAGCACATAATGGAAAGAATGTGAGTTGTGCTTAAACATTTTTAATTTTGAAGATTTAATGAATCACAAATGATCAAAAGCGATTGGTTTTTATGTAATCTAATTTAAAATAAATCATCAATTCTAAAATGAAAGTATTATTAAAAACACCACGTTTTTAATAATATTGCTTTACTACTGGAACGTGTCCCTTACCTTTCGTCGTAATTTCACAAATTAAATTGTTTATTTAACAGACTGTGGGATCTCGCCTTTCGGCCATAAGAGAGTCGGATTTCAAAAACATAAATTTCATGATTCACGTAGAACTGTCTTCAATTAAAATCGAAAGGGTTTTAGTTCGAAGAAAATGGAAAGTATACAAATGAAATAATTTGATTCGCTTTTGTGTTCAAAAGTAAACGAAAGATTTAAAAAAATCAACACGTTTTATTTGATTTAATAGAATAGGGGGGAGATAATTCATCATTCCTAGCCCACGCTTGAAGTGTGCACTGTTGTGATAGCCGTATAAGCAGATAATTGCAGATTCACGACGCGTGTATGCTAACGCATACCTATGAGTTATTCCTAAGAATTCGCGCGAGGCTTCGCTTTTCGAATGTATCTCTTGTAATAATCTGTTCAAACGACTTTAATTAGGCAGTTTCATGAAGCAAATTCACAAGCCTCTATTATGTTAAAGAAACAATTGATAAGAAATGTACAGACTTTGTTAGAAACATTTGTTTTTATAACAAAAGTTAAAGCCGTGTTCCGTTGCCCGCAAACAAGTCGGTAGCTTTATAGATATAGGCACGGCCGCAGGTGTATCCGATACCTAGATACGGGCAGATATCTTTAGTGAGTTTAGTGGCAATAAAAATCACGGCCCTGTTGGCTAACAACGCTTAATGTGCGGTTACGCGTTATCGCGGCCGTATCAAGTGTTGTTCGCGGTATATCGACTAATCAAATTGGGAGCGTATCGATATCGCGGACGTCTTTCGATAGTGCAACACTTTTATCTTAATTGATTGTCTCCCCGGTATTTTTTTTGACAAAACACCGACTTTGATGTTGCCACTTCGATCACTTAAGGAACGCTATGCTTTCAGATACGAGGCGCGGCGGCTCGGCGATCTTCGCGCGTTTAGTGGCTCCACGCGCGGAGCGGGCGCGTATTCCACCGGCTGACTGTTGGGATGCGGATAGGTGTTGACTCTGAGTGCGTGTTAAGAGCGATGCATGGTTTGTGAGGTCGGCGCGGCGGTCATGGACATGAGCGGCGAGGGCGGCGGAGCGGGCGCGGGCGCCAGCGCGGGCTCGCTGCAGCAGCGCTGGTACGACGGCCGGGTGAACGGCAGCCCGGCGGCCGCGGACGTCTCCGAGGCGAATGCCGACGGCTTCTTCCACTCGCCGCTGGAGGGCGGCCACCACAGCCGCGCCCGCTACTACCACCAGCAGATGCACGCCCCCTACTCGACGGCGGTCGGCTCGCACGGTGAGCGCCTTTTGTTATTTATGGCGAACGACAGGGGGTTACATAAGTGACCCAGTGATAAAGTGGTGTAAGGTTAAACCATTGTGGGTGGCACTTCTGCTGCAGCACTATTGGGCAGGAGCGTCCCCATCAGCATCTCTGCCTCACGGAAGTGTGAACAGGAGGTTTTATACCTTTGCGTTTCATCTTTTAATTGAGGTGACCGCGTCCCCCTCTTTTGAAGGTCGGCGACACAATTGTAAGCTCGCTGTTGTCGACTGTTTAGTCATATACCACTTATTTACATAAAAACGCAGAAAGCCGGACATTCTATCGTAATAATAATAATTTACCTTTAATACAAACGAAACGCTGAAGCGTAAATATTTCTTCTCTACACCATCTCTATCTTCTGCGAGGTCGAGTCGGCCTATTCGTTGAGCAGCAGAAGTTGATACCGGCTCTACCGCTTTAATTTATTTTTCATCTGTACCTCTTGCTCCATCTGCTCCGTTTGCCCAGTGATGTTTCCCCATCTCAGTATCAAGGGCGACACCGATACGCGTTACAAACGGACCCAATTAGCGGTACAAGGCAGTTAAACAAATCCGGAATGCCCGTATATCGTCGTCATCACCGAATCCTTAAAAAGTAAGCGGAATTCGTGGCAGTAACAATTAAATATGCTAAGCGGCCCCGTAACTCCGCGAGCCGAGCTGTCAGTATTTAAAGCAAATTGTCGGCCGACAGCACGCGGAGGCTTATCGCCCATCGGACCATATCTCTCCAGAACTCCACAATTAATTCAACGGACCCGACCAGTCAAAATCGCCATTCTGTAAGGTGACAGCTTAGGTAAACACCGTCTAAAATGGGCCTCGACCGTAAAAAAAGAAGTACAAGAAAACACACACAAAAAAAAAAACGAACGTATAATTCCATAGTTTTTGTTTTTTCATTTGAGGTTTAAATTTTACGACCGCCATAAAAGTTTTCGTGGAGACAGGTGGCTCTCCTTTAAAATGAAACTACTCATCCGGAGGCGTACGGAACGTCGCCTATGGGTGGGTCCCTAAAGGCTAGATTGGCGTGCCTTGCGTCAGTTTAATTTATTAAGCGGTGCTTCGGTAGTGATGTGACACTTAAGAAACTGTGCCAGTTCTCGGAATCGGTACCGGGGAATCGATTTCGTCGCGTCCGCAGCAGTTATGTGCGGTGGTTTATGCGCGTCCGTCGACGAATCGGATTTTCGGGCTGCCCTTAAGCGTCTGCCGTTATCGTGTAGTCGCCGAGCGGCTCCTTGTACGTACGATTGCATCTAAATCTGTCTGGTGAATTCATTTGTCCGACACAGGGCAACGGGCGTCTCCATTACATGCCATAAAATTATGTGAAACATTGATTCTCAGCGTCCTCTTTATTCCCACCTACCGTCAGCTGTCATCGTTGTGTCAAAGCCCCTTCCTTATATGTCCTTACGTCGGTGCAGTTGGGCGCGGATTTAATGGCGGCGCTTTTTATTGGTAACGAGTCTCACAAAGTCGGCCGTATTTTGTCATCTGCGAATCAGTTTCGATTCCCGATGAGATTTCGAGTTTCTTAGGTACATATAAAACTAAATGAAACGTAATAAGCGATGTGCGTATTACCATTTCAAGCCGTTACAAAATCTTTTTTGATATCACATCGCTGTCTGCGTGCAGTATATTCTATTTACTCTAGTAATCTAATTAACTATTTAATCTTTTATAGAAACTGCTGTCGTTGTGAATGTTTTTATTTTTCTCTTGGGAAGGCTTAAAGACGAAATGTTAAAAAGAACATTAAGTAGTCGTCCACATTCCTTGAATTTGGTCTATTTTTTACCGTACGAGGTCTGTTGTCTTTGTAATAGGCGAGTGTAACACGATACGAAAGGAAGGCATCCGATTTGACACGCACTCTATAATTTATGGTTTGGTGACGCGATTGATGATATGGATGAAATGATTTATCTTACCATTTCACGTACACCTTTTAGTATCTAATTTTTGTCCTTTGTTTGATTCTTATTATTGTTTTTTGATCGTTGACGATAATAAGCACTGAATCTGCAATAGCCAACTACAACAATTCAGAATTAATGGCTGATATTTTAAAAAGTAGCACCAGTTAGGTTATATACTATAGCTGTAGTGAATTTCGCGTCGGTTTTTAAACACTTATTTGTTATCATAAAATATAAAATTGAACGTAATAATATCTATTCAGTTCAATGATGTAGAATTTAATAGCTGGTTATCAAATCGACATATTTATGCGTCAAAATTAAGTTTTAATGCAGTACTGACTATTTTCTTTTCTAACATTATCTTTAGCAGAAGGTTGAAACATATTTAGTATAAATCAAATTTTCTGAACACAAATAAAATATAATAATTTCTTGTATTTACAAGATTATATATTACTAAATGAAAGTATGTTTACGAATTTATCAAGTTTAATTTTGGTTTTAACTCCCGACGTTTCGAACCCTTTACAGCATTCGTGGTCACGGGACAGATAAAATAAATAAAATAAATGATGTAAAATATACGGAGTTCTGAACAAATTAGTCAATTTTATTATTATTGTCCTATTAGCAGATATAAGGTTAGAAGAACATTGTCAACCAATGTATGATATTTACCAACAGACCGTAAAGACATGGCCTGTAAGCCTTACAATGGAAGATTATAGAACTAGATCAACGATACAATGCTAACACGTCGAGATCAACTCAAATAAAACAAAACCTTTTGATTCAATACCCCATCCAGTATTATTACCGTTTATCGAATTCGCGTGCATTCAGTAGGTAATTCCATCGTTCTCACAACCTTTCCTCCAAATGATATGGACCTTACGAGTACCTATCGGTTAAAAAGTAACAATCCGGCAGTCGAAGGACCACTAATTAGCCGTTTTACCGTTATTGAGCATAAAAATGGCGACACATTTTCTTCGACGCCCAATTATGATAACTGAATGTTTCATATTAATATTGTAATTGAGCAATTAAAATCGTTTTTTGCAGAGATATACGCGTGTGCTTTGCAAAAGTTTCATTCTCTCATTGCGAGGTCGATTTCGCTTACAAATGAGCACTTTTTGATCGCTTCGTGGGTTTTGTCGGAGAGAAATCACTTTACCAATTAAAATCGACCGAACATTCCTTTTACTCAAACCTCGTGTACTCGTTGGCCGAGGGTCTGTTTACCTTTTAATCATCCTTTCCTCTCTCACATTCTCTATAATTCGTTAGCGTGCCCCAGGCTGGTCCTTTTGCGCATCCCGTCGAAACTAGAATGGCATTAATTACGGGCGAAGGCACTACGGGCTCCGCAAACTCTATATATTCGCTTCAAAACAATGAACTACAATTAAGCGGGAGAAGAGGAAAAACACGAGCGTATTTGCCTAACGCGCGGGATCGTGTGCGTCCGTTTGTGTGCGTGCGCTAGTGTTGTGAGTGCGTGCGCGCGGCCGTACCTCAGATTGGTGCAATTAAGGTATGGGCGGAGCCTGCGCGGGCGCACGGAGACATCTCCCCCCATACACACACGGACCGTAAAAATAACGATGCTCCGTACCATTAATTATATCCCCACTCGTTCCCTGTTCGCACACGAATTAATAAGCTGAGAAAAGATAGCGAAAACACTCGCCGAATTACCCCAGGCTGTCGGTCCAAGGAGGATTGTTTAATGAGGTTTTAATCTAGCCATCCTCTATTTGCCTAGTACGCGTGGGACGTCAGTCTATGTGACAATACTCTTTGCAAAACTATTGTTTTCTACGTTATAATCTCTGTAATCTGTTATCTCATTTTGATTTGATTTATTTTCCCGTATAGATATAAATTTTTTGTGATATTATTTGAAATGTAATAAATAAAAGAAATAATTTATAAAACAGCTGAAAAGCTTTTTTCTGAAACTATTAATAAAGAATTAATAAATAGTAGTAAGTTAATGTTAGGTAATATCTTACAAGGTTATTGTTTGAATTTATAATTTATTTTATTTTATTTAAAAATAAATCAAAAATTAAATAAAAATTAAATTTAGGACATCTGTAAGGATAATTGTGATTCCATTATGAAGAAATAAATTATTAAATTAACGGCCGGTTCCTGAAACACTGATCATCGTAGAAGTTAACTAATCAGCTGTCAAATGGCTTTTTAAATGTTATTTGAGTTGGCAACTCAACTAACATTTAAAAAGCCATTTGACAGCTGATTAGTTAACTTCTATGATGATCAGTGTTTCAGAAACCGGGCGTAAGTTTTTAATTATATGTAGATTTTCACATGATTGGGGTGTGCAAGTCGTACACTCCGCTAAAAGCTAAGCTAATTGGTACAAGCTAAAAAGTTTATATGAATACTTTGCCAATTACCGTGATGTTAAAAAGACTGTATTATATATACCAATTAATATTCATTAAATGCTTCATCATTGGTAAAACGGGCAGGTATAACTGAGTATTTTTGTGGACACTAATTAATTATTATAGATACATTGTCAAGTAATATTTCGGCAACCGTAACGACTAATTAATATTTACACATACTTGAACTTATCGCATTAAGACATTATAATTATGACAAGCCGAATAAAAAAAAATATCGCATCGACCGGCCCGACGCACGCGGCATGCGGTTCGCCATTCGCGGATCTTTTTCGTACATCGAATGGAATGGTATTCATATATCGAATGAAACAATTCTGACGACGCATAAAATCGGGTCCGCCATTAATATTGATAATCGGAATTATGTCACTTAAAAACTGGTCCGGCCAATCGAGAGGGCTGCGCGGTGGCCGACTATAGCTTATTATGAAAAAAACGAAAGTGCTCCGTCGTCGGTAGCGTTAACAGTAACCGTTTGGAGGTAACTTCGCGCGTTGGTGTTGCTGGGTGATTTGCGAAATTGCTCAATTCAGTTCAAAAGTTTCGTTGATGACGTCATATGTGCTATTAACGTTTACTTCATAAAGAACGTAGCTTTTCTGAACAAAAAAACTAGTTCGTGTATAGTAAGCGTAATATTTAGTAAATAACATTTAGCGTAAATAAAACAACAACTGAAAATTTTATCCCTTATGCCAATAGTCGTTCTTTGTGAAAAAAAAAAAAGACTAAATGCAATTGAAAACTTGAAATTATAGGTGAATGTTAAACGTTGAAAATGTTAAAAAAAATTGCTATTCGTTGCCATGGTAATACCATGGAGTTAGTGTCCCTTTTAGGTGGGGCGCATCGTAAATATTTATTCATAACTTTTCCCAAACGCGCCAAAACAAGTATATATTGTAAAAAATTTAACATTTATTGGTTTTTAATTTCGTTAGTGCGATGGACTTATGAATCAGGTGTCTTAGTTTACTGTATCACAAATGGAATTCACTAGGATCAGGGATGTTTTTTTTAAAAAAGGATTGACTTACAAGATATACATTTTTAGCTATAATTTACAAATTTAAGTATCATAAGATCAACAAAACTATCCATATGTCAGAAAATTATTTATTGTTTAGTGCATATATTTAGATACTGATGCGATGTAGCTTCATCGTTTTGATTTAATTTTGGTAAACTGTATTTAGAATAGACTGTAATTACCTCAGTTTGTACACGGGATAACGACATCAAGGAGTCATTGGATCGCATACATATGTCCGTTTAATTATACACATGCGTTTGTCTCTCCCTTAGGCGGGGCGTTCGCGCGGAAAGTAATATTTGCTTTAAACTTTCCAGACGCAACCGCTGTTTGCTCACGCTCCCTCCGAAATCGGTTCGATTTGGCGGGTAGCGATCCCTTACGGTTTCTGCTTAGACGCCCATGGGTGGGGAGATAACGAGTGTTTTAATTTGGGCGAGAATTTCTAACAGAAATGACGTTTAAACTTACAAATACGTTTGTCATTGAATGCAATGTTTACAAAAGGATACTTTGATGCATCCAGATCCGGATTTTATGAAGTCCTGGTATTTCGAACCGAATTTTAAAAATACAGTTTTTTTTATGTGGCGAGCGAACAGCACAACGTCAACTGCTAAGTGATAACCGACGACCATTGATGTTTACAACATCCGAAGGGTTACAGATGCGTTGTCACTCTATAATTAAGGCTACCTCACTCACCAGACGAAACGCAGAAATAAAACACTTCCACTTCAAGCCCGTCTTCTGTGAGGTCGTGGTACTTTCCCGGACAGACCTGCCCATTCGTGTAATAGAGAAGATGGTTGCGTGGCCCGACCTCAGTTGTACTGTTTATAAAAGGTTATTTCGATGTAATCTGGGTCAAATTTTATGCAGTCCTGGTATTTCGAATCAGTAGCTAACTCTAGATTAGGGACGTTAACAGTTTTTGAGTGAATTTAATAAATACAGTATCCATAGATTAGAAGTATCCAATGATTAATTAAAAACTATCAAAGTAGCTCGTTAAAACACGCGTTTACAAACCGTCACGATACGTTAAACAGCGGTCGCTTTGAGCGTCAGAAAAACACTGACTTAATCGCTACTACTACGCAAATGCGAATTGCCAAAAACGTATTTTGTATTTCAACTTTACACTGATCATGTCTCGCAATAACTCCACTAACAAAATTGTCATGGTTGCTGAAGAATGCTTATTTGCATTTGTATCTAATTGCGTAACAATCAAAGATGGCTAATTACTTTAGATGATGTTGTTTTGAAACTTGTTAATATCATTAAAGGTCAAATAAATGCAGGAGTTTATAAACTTCGAGTTCTTACGAAGCTGCTGAGAGCACAGGGTCGAAGGTTAAAATAAAAACATTTTTTTTAGTTTTAATGCTAGCCCGATGCGAAGAACGGTGCGTCACTGTCAAGATAAACGTTTTTATGTTTTCCTCGTGAAAATGCATGAATCTTATTCACACAATAAGATTCATGCTACCATTTGGTGGCATTCATATTTCAAATGCTTATTTCCACATAAGATTGCCTACAAAAAAGATACTTTTCACCAGAGCCCAAATATTTTCAAATACTAAAAAAATCACAACTACAAAATTATAGACGGCCACTTACTTTGGATTCAAAAGTATGTTAACTAAAGCATCGAAAGCTCGCATGCCTAGTTCCGACGTGAACTAGAAACTAGTTCCATTTTACGGCGGGCTCTGTTACAATTAGAAAAATCGATTGGCCCGCGCCACGAACAGCGCTAGAGCGTAGAACAAAGCTTGGTTTTATTGGCGCTCATTGTAGAAACTTCGCCGTCTATATCGATCGCCTTTAAACACGGGACGAGTTGACCTAATTGCTCAACTTTTAATTTGCTCAATAGTACGTTCATCACTTGAAACGTTCCTCCGCTAACGTCGAAGACTCTTTTGTGGTAGGGGAAAATGAAATCAAATTATCGACTTTGTTCCGTTTCCGATAGGCTTTGTGTCTATTTAACAAAATCATAACAGTTAATATGCACGCACATTATAATTTATTTATTTACTTCAATGGAGAAAAACTGGAACAGAAGAGTAGCCCTTAATTAATAAACTATATCATAAAATTAATAGAATATTAATATAAACATACAATATTTTGAATCGTTATAGTCTCATATAGCAAAATATTATTATATTATTCTCTCGAATCAGTGATAACTGTATCCCGCAAAGAGGACGTTGTTAATTTCCCATGAAATTTTAGTTGAAGAACGAACTGAGGCAAATAATACAAAGACGTTATTGTAAAAAAAATACTTATTCTATTTATATTCAACGAAAACCTAGAAACGTGCGCAACGCTGTTATAAGTAATTAATAGATTTAGCATAAAAAATGATCCCTCGGTAGTTAGTGCCCGCGTCATTGCACACGCCGTCAACTAAAGAACTTAATGTATTCATATTGCTTTTATATCTTTCGCGTGATTAACTTTGATTGATCGCATCCAAATATTGTTATTCGATATTGGAATCTGACGAGCATCGCGTGGGAGATAAATAAGCGATGTTTCTAATACGTATTAATATTTCTTTGACGAAATTACGATTACAATGTTAAGAGAAATGTTTGATTTTAATCGTAAATAACAAATTTTTTTTACGTATTCAACGAAAACGATGTCTCTGATAAAATATATTTTTTCTCTTGTTAACTCTAAGTGTTTGTGAATACCAGCAAAGTGTAACGTCTAAAACTCTAAGCTATGTCCGTATGTCATTTTAATCAATATATCGCTATCTTTGACTATGACCGTTGGTCAGACGCTTGAAAGTTATCAAATCCGTATTAAAACTTTTATTATTTTACCAAGAGAAAAAAAACCAAAACACGTTACTATTATTTTTCTGCTAATGCATATCTGTTGAAAGTAAATATTAGGTAAATTGGCGACGATGTTTCCCCTAATTAGGTGGATACTACATCGGTTGACTGCCTATGGAGGTGTAAAGGAACACTTCGTGTTAGAGAGACGTCTCTCAGTTTATTTTCTTTAGGATCGCGGACGACACGATCCAATTTGGGATTTGGTGAGGGTCTCGTTTCCGGTCGATTGGTGCGCTGAAGGTGACGCGGACGGAGCTTGATCGATGAAGCCGCTGGAGACGTGCGGCTGGGTCGATCGAGTACGTCCTTTCGACAAAGTTACGAGACAGCCGCTTCCAACGTGATCTCCTACAATCGCATCTGCTCCGTCGCAATAAGGATCCATATACGAGCCACAGACAGCCGAATATATTGTTTTGCGGTGTGCCGATGAGTCGGTGGTTATGTCACGATTTGTCATACATCGCGCTGCGGCTACGGACGCTAGGGAATGTCTACGATTTAGGTTTCGAGCAGGAGTTATGACGAGAATGTCATGGGAACGGCCGTTGAACCATGGTCCCTTTTTAATTGATCGGCCTTTGGTACCGCCTAATGGCGATCGTGTGGCGGCTTTAAGTGGTTTGCGGTTTGCCCTAGAAACCGAAGCGCTGGTCCTCATTTAGTAACAAACGTGACTCGGTCGTATTTAGAGTGAAAGTTATTGTTTCAATGCTTTATTTCATTCTTCTGCCCTCCTAGAGAAACGAAAAGGTTTAACCAAGCTACCCGACTAACGAGCCGAATGTACCCAATACTGGCCAACGAAAAATTTACAGTTACTCGTACCTAACTACAGAAAATTTTCCTCGATTCGATCGGTGTGTTATATTTATGCGTTTTTAACGCTCATTACGAGTTACGGCCGAATTAATGCGGCCGCTACGACGCGCGGGGGAGGGTTACGTTAAATGAAAAATTCACGATCTCACCGCGCCACAATTTGTAATTTGGGGGCGTCAAGCATGGGGAGGGGGGCGCTGGCGTCGCGGGTTCCGTGGAAGCCTATTTTCGCGGCACATTACTGAGGATGGATGATTTCCGTGGCCGCCATGATTTATACGCGGCCGTACTCGCTACCGACGGCTGGCCCCGACGTTGACTCATTACTAGGCCCTCCGCGAGGAATGGACTCCTTTGTTGTACGAAACTATCGCATTTGTCTCTCTTTGTTTCTTTGGAGACTTATATACGATATACGAGACATCGCAAGGATATTCCGGGTAGGGCTATCGATTATTGTTTGAACGTACGCGTTAAATAAACTACGAGGTGGAAGAGTCTCGAAATTGAGATAACTTCGGTTTATGACAGTGTTGTTTGACGATTTTAAATTGAAATACTGGATAGAATGGTAAAAAAAACCTTGAATTTAGTGAAGACCTTATTCTTAAATTACGTATGAATTTTCATTTATATAACTAAAAATTATTTGAATTAATATTTGCTACTTTGGTGCTTGTTTTAAAAGGGCAGTTTTGGGATGACAAACTTTATTATTCAAGTTTAAAGACGCTGGTTATGATTAATTTGAATTATTTATTAATTTTTTGTCGTGTTAATGTCATAAGCTTAAGCCTGTGACTGGTTTGCCATGAAACAATAAATCTATTAACTTTTAAATATTTAAGTAACGAATATAAACTATAATTAACGAATAACTTGCGATAACGCTAACTCGACTTGCATGTTAACGAATTTTGTACTAATTTTAGGAGTTAATAACTTTTAACTTAACCGTTTTAAGCATATTCGTGCAAACATTCTTTATAAGTATTTAAAAACTTACTACGCAAGCATGTAGATCTACATATATGTATTTTCATATGGAATCCTAAAAATATATATGTTTTAATAAACGGAAACGGTTCTAAAATAGTTACAGGAAAATATATTTCGAGATATTCATCTTCGGGTTCAAATTGATGCCGTTAGAGTCGATTCGAGAGCTGTAAATAAATCAACATAGTTCGCGCAGCGCCGTCAATGAATGATCGGTGCGAAGTACAGTCGTAAAGTGAAGTCCTTTTAGATATCTCAGTTCTACTACGCTATAACGTCTCAATAATCTGTTACAATATAACTGATATGTTATTGTATCAAGGTGGTTTTGTTGTCCACACTTTTAGGGCCAAGTTTGATTTATTTCGAAGTTAAAGTCTAAAATTAATTCAATTTAGGATTGTCTCGAGTTCTTGCGTTCGTTTGTAACCAATTTTGAATCATAATTTATATGAATAAATGTTTATTAAATTACAATTATAAATTGCCTTTAGCCGTAAACAATTTTTATTAAAGTAAAAAATGAAAGCTCACTGGCGGTAGAATTCACAGAGGCAAACAGAGATTTGAAAGGTATTTGCATATGGCCCGTTGTTTAGCATGTCTTATCTCACAAATATACAAATATTTTTGCAAGTTAGTTTGCAGATATACAGGTCACAATGATTTCCTTTGTTAGAGCTAACAGCGGGATTCGAACTTAGTTTGCTTTAGTACAGTAAGCCAAAAGCCAACGCCCGTGCATTGCGCAATCACGGTCATGTTTATCTTTATTATTCAACAATTACTTATGTACGCGATTATACGAGTCGGATAATGAGCGTACACCGCAGTGGTTCGCGGTCTTGTCCGCAAAATAACTGTTATCAGCTTAGATGGGCTTCGGGTGCATTCTTCCCTCCAAGTTATGAATAGATGTTTGTTTTCTACATCTAGAACCAACGAGTGGGTTTATTTCTTTATTATTATCTCTACATATTATTCTCGACATGGGATTAACTATTTTATCGACGTACGATTCTCGATTGGGGAAATTAGATATATGCGGTCGCAACTATTGTTTTTCGATTATGTTCAGCTATATATTTTTAAGTTTCTGTTTATGATATCGAAGCATACACGAAATGCATTTGTTCAGTGAAAGAGTGACCGGGCTTGTTACTTCAGCTTGGCAGCAACCTGCTAAGACGCTAAGAAGCTGTTGGCTTCGTCCCTGCGGGTCTCCGTCTTTATCCCTTTTTTCCTGTTATTATGAGAAAGTTACCAATCAAATAAACGGTTCATCTCATGTTAAGTGACTATTACCGATGCGTTACCTTTGATAAATCGAGCCCGGTTGCGTCATTCGTCAGACAATAGACAGACACGCGAAACTATAATATTTCCATTTCACGCCAGTCTTTTGTCGGAGTCATTATCTGGAACCTGCGTATTCGTGCAACAGCAGAAGCTGTGTGGCCCTACCATAGCCCTGCCACCTTCTGTCAACTGATCACACAATGTTTGTTAAATTATCCAATACTAGCGACCCGCCCCGGCTTCCCACAGATTCAATGCATATAAACCTTTCTGTTGAATCACTCTAACCAGGAAAAGAAAACACATTAAGATCCGTTGCGTAGTTTTAGAGATATAAGCATACATAGGGACGGACAGACAGCGGACAACTTTGTTTTTTACTATTTAGTGAAGAAGTAACGTGGTAATGATTTATCATTTCATTAATTACCTTACTATTAGCGGTTCGCCCCTCGCTCTGCATTGAATTGTATTGACAGTGCTGTTCCTATCCGACTTGTGCTTAATCATTTTATTACACATTATATGTGACAGGGCGTAAGCAGAGTCTTATTTATCAATGTCGCGCCACAAGGCGTAGAAGGGCTGCTCCATAAGCCATAAGATAATTAATTGCCTCGTACACTGTTGATACACATCCACATTACTTGAAATTGGTAATTTATTATTCTTAGAATTATAATAACAATATCGCAATTCTGTTGCAAAACGTTGTTATGCTCTACGAATCCTGATGTTTTTAAATGAATTAATGTTTAAAAAATTGTAAAGAAAACTGTTCATAAACATAACAATGTCCATGAATCAACAAGACGTATTAATATTTCTAGCAATTATCTGTAGCTTAATATTTTAACTCGCTAAATATTTACTTTACAAGTATTATTTATAAGTAAGGCATGGCACAAGCTACAAAAAAGTTTAATTAAAGTGCCTAATATCTTTTATAAGGCACTTTTTATTTCATCGACTGAGCCAGTATTAACAAGGTAATGCCTGAGGGGAGTGACTTTACTGTCACGTCATCACGTAAGGTCAGTAGACCCGACGCGTGTTTGTTCTTATAAAGGATTAAGTTATGAATATCGAAAAACAGATTCGATCATTGAGCAGATTAACCTTTTGAATTAAATACTTAGTTCGTAATAAAGTTCACATGCTTTTTTTTTTTTTTAGGGTTGTGATAGCCAGGTCCCTATACAATAATGCGGGCAAAAAATCGCAATTAAATTTTTTATATTAAGTTTTTTTTTAATGCTAATCTATGTAATTAAGATGAAATGTTTAAATTTGTAGAAAAACGGACGAAAAATAAAAAACGCGGGAATCGAACCCACTTTTTCCGGAAACACTAGGCTAAACGGCTGATGCCACTGTTGACTGTTAATAAATCCATCTTGAAAGGTTGTTAATTTAGCTCGGGCGTATTTAAAGTTGGAGTCGTCTTAAGTTTTACTCAGTAGTTGTCCCTCTGTCGCTGCCTCCGGAGTGGTGTTCCCTGCCGGTACCGTAATGCGCGAGTCACGAGCGGTTATATAAACGGGCTGCCGAGCGCCCGTCATTATAGGCATTACTGTAGGAACACTCGCCATCGCCGGCCATTGTCAAGATTGCGGGGGTCAGCGGGCGCCGGGCCGATGTTGGCCAACTTGTAATTTCGCCACAAGTATCCCCGCAGCCCAATAAATCCCCGGCAAAACAATTTACCGCCGTCCACGTAGCGGGCCTCTACCTAGATCACGTCTGATGATACACATCGTGACCGATGCAACGTTATTAATTATGGATATTCATGTTGCTCTCGCGTCGTGGCCCCAACTTGTTGGGTTTTTATTTGTCGTGTCATGATTAGCTTTAACCGCTCACCGATTCAAATGCGACGCGTTTTATCCTACGGCCTTGTTGCGCTGGACAATTGTGTTTATTCATTATGGTGTATCCATTAAATTAAAACGTGCGCTATGATGTAATAGAGCCCCGTGTGTTCATTTATTTCGGAACAATGTTTTCCGATAGTAGTTAACGCGGTCTTTACGTTTCTGCCAACGTGAATTGTAAATTATATGTCCATTTGGAATATTATGGTTATTTTGCTGTATCGTAAATTTTTGGAACGTTTTTGTGGAACTACAAAAGGTAGAAACCGCTATTAGCGCGGATCTGGCACGCGTTGAAGTGCGAACTATTGTAGGCTATCTCTAGAGCGCGCGGGCCGCTTCGAGGAAGATGCAAGTGGAACATTACTATTCATCAGCTACCCCAACT